GCCCATCATTGAGGCGGAATAGAATGGATAGGCCCTAGGGATGTCGAACCAGGCGTCTAGAGATCCCAGACAGCCGTTCGTAGCTGGAGGGAGAAGAGATACAGGGGGAAAAAAGGAGAGGATGGTGTGGAGGAGGGAAAAACTTTGGGAGTTGGTGAGAGAGAATGTTGTAGGAACAACAATTCCCCCGAGGATGACGGAAGAGCTGAGGAAGCCAGCCAAAGGACGATTTGGAGCTGGATGGCCCATAAGTAAATAATTAAGGCTGGAATATATTTCTTATTTCTTTCTCTTCCGTTTACTGCCCTCGTGTTTTCTCAAGTTACTTATTTAACTAAGTGATATAATAAATACTTAAATAAATACTCGCCCGTTCTCCGCTCCTCAGCCTCATCTGGTCCATCAACAACTCCCCGCGCAACGGCAAACCGCCTTGAGAACCCGTTCACCCTGCAGCCAATACCCTCTCTCAGGCGAGAAGACAATTGAGCGTAATAGCCGATTGATAATACATCCTCCACCTCTCACCAGAATTTGAGCGGAGAAACGCTACTGGCAATCTGGCACGTCTTCCTACCTCCACTCAATTTTCCCTACGAGCCATTTAAATACCTGCGAACAAGCTGCATTGGATAATGCAATGTGTGCTGGAGCAATAGGACGGCAGAATTGAGATATCCTCGCCGTACTGTCTTTATTTGGAGCCAACAGGGGACCATCTTGCGGGCTATCCGCCCTGCAGAAGCCGTTGTCCGATGGAATGGACAACGATAAGGACAATGACAGTTTCTCTGACGACGGAATTGACGAATTGCCTCCTAGGACCCTTTTAGAGCTCGAGAGGAATGCATACCAGGCGTCGCAGCCGCAACGCCCTGATTCCAGAAACAGCAGTATCCATATCCCTCCAAACGCCAGAAATCCAAGCTTTGTTTCCCTGGCCCGCGGAGCTATCTCCCGGCCTGCCAGCCGCACTCTCAGCCATGGGCCCGTCTTGCAGGACCCTTCACGGCTCCTGCGCCCGCCATTGAGTTTTGGAGATGAAGATTTTGAAGATTTGGACGCTGGGGTACTGGACGATGGTTATGGCCCGGCTCCGGTTGAATTACAAAATGCAATGTTCCAACAAGATAAGGTTAATGATAGACTACGTCCTGGGGCACAGGAGGTTGAGCCACGTCCAGATCATAGAGCAAAAAACATTGCGAATGGAAATACCGCCGGTCCCGCCGCGCAACAACACGCGGTGTCACTTGGGGACACTATTGTAATGAGTGGCGTGGAAGAGATGGCTACAGATGCGGTGCGGCAGGAAAACGTTGCTGATGCCCCAGATTCAGATGTCTGGGCTGAAATTGAAGCGATGAAGGAGCAAATGGAACAGGTAGTGCGCGCCTTTTTTTTTTTTTTTTTTT